ACAGATAGTTACAGGTGGATAGCCCTTGTCAATAATAACAATAATTTGTCAAACTGTGACTTACTTTGAATTTCCTTTCACGAATTTGCGAATATGCTATTAGTTCAGGGGAAATGCTACAGTAACATAGCAAAAGCTGAAAGAACTCACGCCAACAAAGGGCGAGGAGAGTGGTTCCAGGAAGATAGAGGACAATAATCCATTTTCGGGTTCCAGGCACAGAAGAACAAGTATTGGACATAATCAAATAAGGGCCTTCCAGGGGTACTCAGAGCACAATAACTGACACTTTCCCAAGCACCTAATAAATACCTAGGAAGGGCTACATTTCTACCACGTTTGTACGATACATACAGCACAAGGAGATACAAATGGAATAGAAGTTCATTAACTGAACACGAGAAGCTGCTTGATAAGAGTGGATAATAAGGACATTACACAGGCACTAGCTTGTCTGGAGTTAACCATATAAATGTTTGGTGTTGAATGGTTTATTTATAAACATTCGAGGTTGTGAGAACAGGTTCACATTTCGAAATTACGTTACCTAGTCTACAAATCTTGTTGAATTTACCGTTTATCCTTGTTTATCTTATTGTCACTCTCTATAATTCTATGGTTACTGGAGTTTTAAATAATTACGAAGCAACAGGTATTTGCGTAATGATAATTAGGCAGATTACCTTGAAAAACACTGCTGCCGTATTTCTGATATAGTTTTTTTTGCAAATTTTTCAGTTTTTAATAACAATTACTTTCTTTTACTATTTTGGCTGTATTCCTATAACAGCGCCAGACAACACCTCCAGAGGAATGACGCCAATTTTGAATCACCCTGTCTAGTGAGCAGGAGATTTGGTTAAGACTATGCGAATTTGAAGAGTTTGTTCCTCGTGGCCAAACACCAATTTAAACGGAGAACAACCAATTGTTTTCTGCTTTGTGGTATTAACCTTTCAGTGGTCGCGTCCTTAAATGTTAAAAGAAGCTTTAATTTATCAGCTGAAGACTCATTAATTAAATACCATGTAGACCCTGTATCTGTTAAGCGATTGATCTGTGTTAAAAACATTCGGTATGCAAATTTTTATTATTTGAATTTAAATACACATCATAAAACGTGCATTTCTAATATTCTCCAGCTTACCACTGTAACTGACACACAAACAGTGTGCCCTTATTTATGGGTTTCTCCGGAGTGAATGATCCCTCTAGTGCTTTGTCCATAGTGGGACGAGTTTGATTTCAGCAACATATGGGCAAATATGCATATTCGATAATTGTCGAAATTAAACAAAACCTGTTCATGCTTAGGTTTTTCTTCCAAACGAACGATATTCGGTTTCAGTAGTTCCGCTTTGTCGACAACATTGATTTTACTGAAAAATATTAATAACTTAATTTAACTACAGGTTTTGCCGACGAAAGCAATTGTCGATACTGTACTGGTTTTTTGCAGTACCTACCGACAGGCCACACTAACGCCACTTGATTAGAATTTTTACGCTTCTCAGAACAATTTTTAAAAACGTCCCATGTTTTCACAGAAAAAGCACTTGATTTGCTTTGTTTCCTTTTGAGGATTGCTCGTTTGTTGATTTAAATTTGAGCACAGCTTAAAAGTGATCCTAAATTTTTCTGCACTGAAAAACTTACAGGAAAGTCGTTTCTAAAAATTTTAAAGTTTTATTGGTGGGTTACCATGCGGAAAAACACCTTTCGGTAGATTTTTATAAAAATGGTTCAACTACTTACGGTTTCACGGTCCGACCACTCAAACTCATCTTTATACCCTTCAATTTTTTGTAACCAAAGATTATTATCCGTGTTCTACAGATCAAGCCTGATAAAAAATTCCCAAAATTGATGCGACTGCACCCAACGATCGGGCCAAGCCGTCTTCCTCTATAATATAAACAAAACACACAAAAAAAACAAAAAAAAAATGCGGCGCTGTATCCCACTTCTCATATTAGAAAAAAAGTGTTTTTCGGACTTGTCAGGCAGACTCACCGCGCACGAATCCGACGCTATTTCCGCGTGTTACGTGTCCTTTTTGGGCGACCGGTGCTAAACGGCCTTACGTACATTCGGGAACCGTTCCTCTATCAAAACGGTGCCAAATTTGAATATTTTAAAACTGAATCTAACAATCTAAACTGCACCACAAAGATAAATTTGCTAAATCACGGTAATCCGAAATAACTGCAAAAATCTGTAACACCTTCACTAGAAATAAAGCGATCTCAAGTGAAGCCCGATTAATCCCACATAATATGAAGGAAAGAAGAAATTCTTCTGCCGAAAAGAAGACAAAACTAAGGCTGATAAATAAATATAAAATTACACCATCAACAACATACGTTTAACCAAAGAACTTGGATCCGACCACCTGGCTATTACGTCTAAAATAGACTTACAACATATGCAACCTTCCTTCAGTACACCTCCTATAAAGAAAAAGTTAAACCTAACAAAGACTGACATAGAGAAAGTGATACAACATATACATGACTACATTGAATCGCAAGCACAGTCCATTTTAATAGTAATTATACACTTTCACTAGCCATAGTAAAATTTAGACCAGAAACAAAAAATGTTTTCTACCGACATACACTACCAAATTTATACTGAGACTAATAAAACATAAGAGAGAACTGTATAGACTATATACATACAGCCAAAACAACGACCTAAAAAAGACACTAAACCAACTCAACAGAAGCATTAAAACTTTGATTAAACAATACCGACAAGACAAATTGCTAAAAACAGGTAAAGAAATAGAAAAAGACAAGGCAAAAAATTAAGAAACTTAAGGCGCAATACAAGAGAACTAACACAATTGACAAAAATGGAATAGAAGCTGACAAGAAGAAAGAGAAAGCTGAAACGTTCGCCAGACACTATCAAAATGCCTTCAGCATATCGACAAACTCTTTCTTCGTCAATGACAACTGGAACTTGAACTATTTTAACAGCTCACCTATACCTAAAAATTGATCACAGACAGAGAGTACGATGAAGCCCTAGAGCATATCAAAAACACAGCACCAGAAAAAGGCAAAACTTTTGAAAAGCCTAACTCGAGAAACACGCAAACTGATCCTAACTAAACTCAACAACTGCATTACCCAAAAATGGATTGAACAATACGCAACCCAACAGTTACAAACCAATTACTCCATTACATTACTACCAGTACTTAGCAAAGTTTTTGAGTACATAATAAAGCAGCTTGCTTTGCAGCAGCAAAAAATTTGTCGGAAGATACATACCACGGTTGATACAATTCGTGTTGCTGATGTTCGGCTTCAACCATCAACACTCGATTATTCACCCACTCTTCACTCTGACTAACAATATGCAAACAATCCACCTAACTCACAGAAAGACAGCCTGCCTGTTTATCGGCATTTGCAAAGTTTTGAGAGTGTCTGGCATAAGTGTAAAGTAAGTAATAAGTCCATATCATCTTACTATGCAAACTATACAAACTCCACACTATATCTACTACACACCATAAAGAACTTACTAGAAAACAGACAACTACAAGTACGAATTGACAAAACGCTCTCATTGTCTTTCCCCGCTCTCACCGTGTCTCTACAATATATTGTAAGCAACCTGGGAAATCCGAGGAACCACGGCGGGACAGCAACACTAGTAAGCGGGACACGCCTAGGACGGGAGTGGTGGTAACATCGTGGATACTTCATGGCTGGGACAGTAGATGGCGTGGCGCTTCTGGCGAGCAACATTGCCAAGAGGGATGGATTATTATGGATCGTGGTGAGGGTGGAAATAAACGTCATGATTTTCAAGTTTTACGTTCTGTTTTAATTATCAGCCCAAAATTAAACCTAACAATATACTGCCATGACATATACAACTACAACTTACCAGACAAAAATCAAATCGACAGATCAGCATACATATTACAATACGCTGACGAAACGACACTTATTTTACAAGACAAAACTACAGATAAAGCAGCTCAAAGACTCCAAACACTAACAAACAAACAATGACATGGTTTTATAAATGGAGACTAACACCAAACGTTTCAAAAAACCAACTTCTGCTCACAAACCACTGCTCACACACACAACTCAACTCTAATTCCCCTACAATAACTGCAGACAACCAAACGACAGAACCAAAAAACGACGTAAAATACCTTGGAGTCACAATTGACCAGAAACTTAAATTTACTAAACACATACGAAACATCATCACAGAGACGATAAAAACAAAAAACACTTTTGCTCACTAACATACAAAGGCAAAGGAATCTGCAGACCCCTATTGGACTATGGACATACACTTATGACTAACGATACATACAGACGACAGAGCAAATTCCACTAAGACTAATAACACGACTAAGGCACCCCCAAAACCGACTGCACAATCCATCGAACAAATTATTTTTAATTATTACAGTTTTGTAAAATTAGGAATAGTCTAATTTTAAGAATTAGGCAGTACAAAGGCAGAAAGATCAATGTGGGGTCGATAGATTTTTTCCTTTGGAAGTAAATATTATTTATTATATATATTCATATTCGTTATTAGTTTAAAAAAAAGAGCTTGTTGATGAATGATTAAGTGGACTGTATTTCTGTATTATTTTCTTCTTCGTGCGCGTCCCTATCTGAGATGGCACTCCCAACACCGACTTAAGTTAATGAATGCACCCAACCGACGAATTAAAACCCGATTGTCGGCAAAATTAAATGTATATGGCTCAGAACGTTATTTCTACACACGTCTTGTTTGTTTTTCCTCAATTACCTTAGTTACTAGAAACAAATACAACTTAAAATAAAAAAACTAATTGTCACATCGCCCCCTAGACTAACTTATGTGGTTGGCAAGATAGACAAATAGATTTTATTTACTCATTTCCCAACAGAGCTCTTGTAAATATACATACTAAAATACGAATTACCAACATATTAAAAAGTATATTAAAATCGTTTGAATCTCTTGAGATTACAGGTGATGAGTCAGGAAAATCATGTTCGGGAAAAGATTAGAATTTATTGCTTAGATATTTAAATTTTATTTACATGTCTGGTTGTTCTTACCTCCACATTTGGCAAGCCACTGAAAAATCTTTACTTCATCTAATATCGAGCGAAAGAATAAAAAACTGTTTATAATATTTGGCATTTTTCTTTGCTTACGAAGTGCGCACATTTTAAAACTGTCTTATACGATACAGAGTGTCTCAGAAAAGCGAGGCAAGATCAAAGTGCATTTTGGTAAATACAATTACCCATTTTTCATTACCTCATGAAATGCAGCTTGACACCCTGCATATGCACCGTAAATTGTTTTTTTATTACTTGCTCTTATCGCCATTTTAGTAAAATTTTGCTTCAAAACATGGTTTCTAAAAATTAATTGTCGAAGCAAAAAAAAGCAGTTAGGCCCGGTTCCACCATTTCCGATTAAAATGTTAATCATTGATTAAAACGATTTAATCAACACTTTCCGTTTCACAATAATTTTAACCACGATTATGGACACTTAATCAGTCGTTAACTTAATCGCCTAAAATGGCTGGTTATTGACGATAATCACGATCAGTGTAGTATTATAACCTTAAACAATTTTAAGTAAACACATGTTGGATTTGTTTTATGACGATGTTTTATCACAATCGGATGAGGATAGTGACATTCGGGTTGTTAGAAGACCGCGAATATTTGATCCGCCAGTCAATTATTTTGAAATCATAGACACCTTGAGTTTTTACGCTATTTTGCTTATCGAAAAACACTGTCCAAACATTACTGCTGGAAATAGAAATAGACCTGCAACATGCTATAGAAAGTTATGATAAATGAATAATAGTAAAATTGCCACATGTTCATTAAATGGATTTTTTAGAAACAACACTATTCAATCCACGACACAACTTTTACTTGTGTTAAGGTATTATGTACTGGTTCGCATCTTATTGCTGCTGGAGACTTTTTTGGAGCAAGCAAAACTAGTCCACATCGAATTGTACATCGAGTTACTGCTGCAATAGGCACATTAGCTCGAAATGACATTAAACTCCCATCTACAAAAAGGGAAATAAGTGCAGCACAAGTAATTTTTTATGTACTAGCTCTTTTTCCCAAACTTATTTCAGTGTTCGATTGTACTCATATTAAAGGACAATCTTTTGAACTAGACAGCGCAGAAGTATTTCGTTATAGAAAAAGATACTTCTCTATCAATGTTCAGCGACATGCGATTACTATTTTGAGAGAAAATGATTTCAGTTGATCTGTCAATTGTTTGAACCAATCAGAACCGTGGATTCAAAGGAAAAACGATCTTACCCGATGAGACTGATGATTATCTAACCAGAGTTAAAAGGGTTGTTGTGGAACGCATAACAATTTAATCATGATTAAAGTGGTGATTAAAAAATGATTGTGATTAGTTAACGAAGAATTTAATCACTCTTGGTGGAACCGGGCCTTAGAGATACAAAAAAATACGTCTTTCCAATCAGCACACTTTCAAATATACACATATTGATATTTTGGTTCAATAGAATTCTTAACGGATCTGTGGTGATTGTAAACATTTATTTTTTTTGTACCTCTAACTGCTTTTTTTGCTTCTACAATGAATTTTTACATACCATGTTTTTAAGCGAAATTGTACTAAAATGGTAATAATCTGCCAACGTCGCAAGTAAGAAAAAAACAATTTACGGTGCAGCCTGTCAAGCTGCATTCCAAGAGCTAATAAAAAATGGGTAGTTCTATTAAAAAAAAAATTACTTTCGATCTTGCCTCTCTTTTCTGAGACACTCTGTATAATATAAGATATTTTTAAAATGTGCGCACTTTGTGCGTCAACAACTTTTGAAACTATTTTTGGAAAGTTCATCACCAACGGAAATAATGGACTCTATCGTACTAAAAAACCACCCTGTATATGAAATTATTCTGCAGTTGCTTATTGTCTTTTCAAAACCGTTTTTTAAAGCCTGGTATAATTTACTGATTGATCATAGAGGTTCATCATATGAGTTGAAAAAATATTTTTAAGCTTAAGCTGGTTATGCGTTATTTGCATTGCGATTATAACACATTCTTCCACATTCGGATAGTTTAGGGTAGATATTGATGATGAAAATATAGTTGTATCACGTACGTATCCTTCCACAAATAATTTTCATTTCCGAGTCTTCCGTCGTTTTCTAAATAATCTGAGTTATCGCGCCAACATTTCAAACTCGACACTTCGTAGCTTGCGCATATGATGGAATGCATTTTAGATTTTAAAGTCTCGTGAGTAAAGTTTGTAGTTCTCCATCTACCATGTATTTTAATACACGCTAAAAATGAAGTTTCAAACTGCACAGGTTCATATTTATTTCCTTCTAAATTAATACAATTATTTAAAATTTTAACTACCATATTCACACTTTCACTGAGAAGTCTAATTAAACTGTTGACAAAAATATTGTTTCTAAAAGCTAGTTTAGAACGGGTGTTGAATGAATAAATAATTTTCAATTACTTCAAACTTTTGATGTCCTTGTTTGCTTTCTATGCTTTCTCTGGTGCCTGGTGCCACTGCATTCCCTTTTAATTTAAATTGATTTTCTACTTTTATTAGTACTTTAAACCTACCGACTATATCGTATTCCGTGAAACCCGGTGAAACTATGCTTAGTGACAGTAATTACACTGAAGATGACACTTGGTTCCATTGACTCCGCACTGGCAGCCACCAGAAGTGTCTCCTTTTCCCCCGGGTCCCCATCTAGGTCCTCTGGTAACCCAACAGATTTCGGTCTTGCACATTGAACAGCGCAACCAATCACAACCCCACTTTTTCATAAGTACGACCTGAAAACATCTAAAATTATTGACCTAATTTTGAAAGTGTTGCAAAGCTCTGTAGATATGTAATTGTTGTCTTGCAATTATTATCAAATAAGGTGTGAACCTTCCTTGTTAATACTAAAGATAAGCGAAAATCCAACGTAAACACAATTTGCTTTAAAGATAATCAAATTAGTTGTCGAAGCTCTACGCTTGGATGCTAGAGTTGTTCTTAAGGACAAAATTTAGCAGCAAAATCTATCGAAATAGATCCGAAATTTCTGGTTTTTTGCATTTGAAAACGAGATGCATGTTGTGATTTTTCCGGTTTGGAAGTGGTGGAATCCACCTAAAGTTTTTGAACTTTGAGAAGTTTTGAATTATAATTTGGCAAAGGTTATGCGTACTCTAATTTCAAAATGCCGCAGACAGCAGAACTGGGTATGGTCTATATGGAAATAGAAGTAGGGCTAAATCACCAGAATAGAAACGCATTTAAATTTAATGGAAAATAGTTTACGTGACAAGTAGACGTAGAATAAATTTAGATGTGAATATTAATATTTTGATAAAAATAAATAATACTAATACTAATAAATAATAACCTGTCTAATATTTATGTCAATATCAAGGGACTGTAATAATTTTTCTCAATAAATAAAAGGCATTTCAGTAGTTTGCAAGATATTATTGCAATTTGTACTGGGTTTTCAATTACATTATTGTCACTACTTTTAATTTTACTTATGAAATTATCATTCTGTACATTACTTCCCATCTTATTTTTTATATATTTCCAAAGCTGTATAGCATTATTCTTATTTCTCTTAATTAGATTTTTCCATGTTTCATTTTTGCCTTATGAATCACTTTATCTAGTCGCTTATATTTAAGAATATATTATTTTTAGTTTAACAATGTGGGCACTTTTTTATTAAGAGAACCATTTTTTATTATCCCTATTTCTACCATCATCATTGTGAATTTATAACAAAAAATTAAAAAGTAACCCGGTACTTTTATATTAGGATTTTGAAACCTGGTACAGAAAAATACCGTTTAGTACACCTCTAGAACACAGGCACAACGGAGAACGAAACTATTCTTTGTCTCTGGCACGCACTCATGTTTTTGATCGAACGGGTTGCTCCGTCCGTTCAAATCCTGAGTCCTTTGGGGAACCAGAATACATTTCCATGCCGCGGTAAGTAAAAATGTTTTATTTTCTGTTGTTCACTTTGAAGTGAAAACGAATAAATACAGTAAAAGCTGCCATACATACAGGGTGATTCAAAATTGGCGTCATTCCTTTTAGGGGGTGGTAGAGGCTCCCTTGGGGAGTACGATAAAAATATTGAAAATTTTTTTTTCGAAAGTTTCTAGAAGATATTAACAGTTAAAAATCGAATTTCAACTTTGTTTTTAAGCTTTATTTGGAAATAGTTCCATGTTTAATTGGTAGCATATTGGAATACTTAAGCAGCCAACAAGAAAAATTACGATCTTTGCTTCAATTTACGAAAATTTTTGATAACAAAAAAGTTCTTTTCTACAATTTTTTGATGAAAAGGCACTGCGGCAATGATGTTTTTTGTCATTAACAGATAGTTACAGGTGGATAGCCCTTGTCAATCATAGCAATAATTTGTCAAACTGTGACTTACTTTGAATTTTCATTCACGAATTTGCGGAGATGCGATTAGTTCAGGGGAAATGCTACAGTAACATAACAGAAGCTGCAAGAACTCAAGCCAACAAAGGGCGAGGAGAGTGGTTTCAGGAAGATAGTGGGCGATAGATGTTCGGGTTCCAGGCACAGAGGAACACGTACTGGACATAACTTGTTTGGAGGACTAGCTTGTTTGGAGTTAAGCATTCAAATGTTTGGTGTTGTAGAGTTTATTTATACACACCCATATTCGAGGTTATGAGAACAGGTTGACATTTCGTCAACAAATCTTGTTGAATTTACCGTTTAACATTGTCTATCTTATTGTCAGCCTGTATAATTCCATGGTTACCGGAGTTTTAAATAATTACGAAGCCACAGGTATTTGCGCAATGTTAATTAGGCAGGTTACCTTGAAAAACATTGCTGCCGTATTTCTGCTATAGTTTTTAAAAACTGAGAAATTTGCAAAAAACTATATCAGAAATACGGCTGCAATGTTTTTCAAGGTAATCTGCCTAATTAACATTGCGCAAATACCTGTTGCCTCGTAATTATTTAAAACTCCGGTAACAATGGAATTATACAGAGTGACAATAAGATAGACAAATATAAACAGTAAGTCAAGATAGGCACGGATATACGGTAAATTCAACATTATTTGTTGACTGGGGAACGTACTTTCGAAATGTCAACCTGTTCTCATAACCTCGAATTGGTTGAATGGTTAACTCCAAACAAGTTAGTGCATGTGTAATCTCCTTATTATCCACTCTTATCAAGCAGCTTCTCGTGTTTAGTTAATTAACTCCTGCTTCATTTGTATCTCCTTGTGCTGTGTGTATCGTGCACACGTGGTAGGAATGTAGCCCTTCCTCGGTATTTATTTGGTGTTTGGAAAAGTGTCAGGTATTGTGCTCTGAGTACCCCTGGAAGGCCCTGATTCGATTATGTCCAATGCTTTTTCCTCTGTGCCTGGAACCTGAAAATCGATTGTCGTCCACTATCAACATTTCCCTTGAACTAATCGCATATCCGCAAATTCTTGGAAGGAAATTCAAAGTAATTCCTGTAACTATCTGTTAATGACAAAAAACATCATTGCCCCTGTGACTTTTCATCAAAAAATTGTACAAGAGAACTTGGTTGACATCAAAAATTTTTGTAATTTGAAACAAAGATCGTAATTTTTATTTTTGAATGCTTAAGTATTTCAATATGCTACCAATTAAACATGGAAAAATTTCAAAATAATTCTTAATAACAAAGTTGAAATTCGATCTTCAACTGAAAATATCTTCTATAAATTTTCGAAAAAGAATTTTTCAATATTTTTCTCGTAAGTGAGCCTCTATGACCCCTTTAAAGGAATGACGCCAATTTTCCATCACCCTGTATAACAGTATAAGGAACTATACCTATACATTAGCTTTGCAAAATTTAATTTTTCTTTGTGTGGAATTAAATTCTTACAGGGTATTAAAAACTAGAATGTAAAATATTAAAGGACACATATGCACAAAAGTCTTAGTAAAGATGGGTCGACAGACTAGCTCTCTGGGAAATCTGGTAGTCACTTCGTTATCAGTATCTAATACATATTAATTTTCCACAAGGAACTAAAATGTGTTCATTTCATTAAATTAGGTAAGCGCAGTAAACACAAAACGCTCGTCCGGGAGACGGGCCGCTCCGAAGGCTGCGAGCCCACCTCGGACAGCTCGGCCAACCATAGAGAAAGTAAAATAAGAGAGGTGGCAATCATATGGGCGTTCTTGTCACCGCGTTACGCAGGTTGCGCTGCAACTGACTGACCGGCGACTGACGGCACTCAAATTTCGAGTTTTTGGCCAAGAAGTTCTGAGCATGTGCGAAACGTGCAGGACATAGTGAAAATAAAATAAGGATCGGTTAAATCAGTTCTGTCTTTTTTCAACTTGCAGAACAACGCAACTGGATATTATTCTTGTATTGCTAAGTTGACTTTGCTAAATGAAATTATCCTAAGAATGAAATTTAACCTTATTTTAACCACGTTTTCGATTGATCGGTCGATTTAAAATAATTTCATATTTCTAGTACCTGTACGGTATTAATACCTACAAATAACATTTGCTGTCGAGACGTAAGTATTGCATCGTAACATAGTAGTATTTTTTTGTGAATATGTATTACCATTTTTTGTTTACTCTTTCTTGTTTGTTTGTATAATTATATTTGCATAAAGATGAATCCTCCTGATGATCGTGTTCTTTTTGTATAAATGTATAATAAATAGCATCAAACTGCAAAATTTCCCATTTTAAAGAGGGTAATCTTGATAACTACGCAAAAAACCGGTTATTAAAATTCTCTGATTCAAATAAAGGTATTAATCGTCGCAGAAAATGCTTTGAAATAATGGAACTCTTTCTTTTAAAAGAACGGCTTAGAATTAGGACTTTGCATGGCCAAATTTGTTGTTATTTAATAGTTCAGCATGGAACAGAATCCTGCAGCACATAAGTAGAAGACTTCTGGTGGGGATTCCTACTTCTATAGGGCACAAGTTTATCTACCCAGTTTATCCTTTTGGGATTCTTTGGAAGACAATTTGTGTTTTTTTACTTAATAAATGTTATTTCATTTTGATTTAGGTATATATTATTTCATTCCCTGTCA